AATTGCTTTGCATCAATACTAGTAGATATTTACCACTAAGGAGCAGGTTGACTCAAGTGAGGTTTTAACTCTTCTCAAGAAGATTGTACTTTCAAAGGGTTATGATTATTCCAAATAGTATGAATGCCAATTAATCCCCAAAAGGATCACACTTCCAAAAGTCTCTGGAGATTTCTGGTTTTCCCAAATGCTTATGGAGATTTCCATTTTCCAAAATTATAATGGATATAACTCATAGGCAAGAGCTCTTACTTCATGAACTTTCTATCAGAAAATACACAAATTGTGGTCTCCATCACTGCAATGAGATCATTGGATTATGGCATATATTTCTCTGTTGTCAAACATTAATCAATTAACTGGCAAAAATGTGCAGTTTAATAAGTTAGAAAATGCATAAAAGTAATGTGATTTCTACCTACATTTGAGAGACTTCTTTAAATTTTCTTCTACAGAAAAAAAACAATAATCTTCCTTTGAAATCTGAGTACTTTCCAAGCTTTTTAAGAAGTCAGCTCTCATAGAAGCCTAATTTCACATAATGTTGTGACAGATGTGTACCAGATTTGGGACAGGCTAGGAGCTTGGCCTAGAGGAAGGAACCTTGTCTTTATTTATTCATAATAGAGTGAAAGCACTCAAGTCAGTTCCTAAATCAAGTCATAAATATGTAATTTTTCTGGCCTAGTATTATGGTAGCTTCTACATGTTATGATCTTTGCTTTATGTTTTTTTTTTAACGAAAAGGTTTTCTAGCCACTTTATTGAGTAGAACATCAGGGTACAATTATTATATATGCGGCATGCTATATATTTCTTCAGTGAAATACAGAGTCTCAGAATAAATCTTTGTTAGTTAAGAATAAGTAACATGAGCTGATAGTGCATATCCCTGATATGTTAGTAAATAATGACATCTTTGAAAGTAAAATGCTTAAGGTTAGGTTTTCCTTTTTCTGTCCTGTGATTATTTCTGGGTGCCATGAAAAAAGTTTGAAAAATAACCAAAGCATTTTTAAATTCCAGTGTCACAAGCTTCTTGGAAAGGTGAAGGATTCAAGGATTACAGTTTCCCTCAAGGAGGGCTATGAAAATGCTTTACTATGCCGATAATTCCAATGGCTTGCTTAATTTCTGTTTTGTAATAATAATAACAACAACAACAACAACAACAACAACTTTATATGCTGCTCTATCTCCCCGAGGGGACTCAGGGCGGTTTCCAAGTAACATAAAGGTTCATAAAGTTTTCACATTATTTTATTTTCCAAGGTAAAATGACACTAACTAGAAGAAATCCTCCCCCTTGTGCGACTGTGGAGCAGAACAAACAACTCCACATTTGTGTGCTTGCCCACAATGGCCTGCCTCATGCACCGAGGAAGAATTGCTTAAAGCTACAGACAATGCGGTTGCTGTTGCCCATTTTTGGTCTAAAATTATTTAGCCGCTTGTGCTCCCTCTATTTTATCAGTTTTATACTTATTTATGCAATGCTTTTGACACGAAATAAATAAATAAATAAATATTCCAAGGAAACCATGTACATCTCTCCCAGAATACTAGCATATTGCAGGTATGTTACATAGGTTAAGTCATAGATTTAATTCATGGAGGCAATGACAATATCTATGTGCCAACATAATTGTCTCTCTTCAAATCTGTTATTCAAAGTAAGTCCAGTCACAGAAGATAAGCTGTCCTTCAAAGCAGTTTGTCTGCTATTGTTTCTCTTCTCACCAAGGAGCCACTGATCAGTCTCCAATAAACCATGAGTGTTCAGGACACTTTGAAACTCACTGCTTTAGAAGACTGAGGCACAGCTGAATAAAATCCCACATTTTCTGCTATGAACTGGGATATATGGCAGTGCGGATTCAGATATCCCAGTTCAAAGAAGATATAGTGGGATTTTGCACCTTGATATTCTGGGTGAAGGGCCCTGGGTCAACATTTGGTAGGTCACGGGTCCCACACAGCCCAAACTTAGTTACAAATAAAAACTGTTCAAGAATACCAGGTCAAAGTTCTGTAGTATCCCATTCAAAGACCCTCCCGAGTCTGAAGAGGAATATTGCACTCTCCTGAGTATAGTTCTCAATCCAGCTGTGAACCCACCTGGAAACACTGTCATCTAGCTTTCACCTAGTTTGCTAATTCAACCATCCATCGTGAGGGAAAGAACTCCCTCTGAAATCAGTGATTACTTTTATCCCTACATAACAGTTGAACGTATTCAAAACAAGCTGAGATTCAAAGAAGGAACTTCTCAGTCCACCGTTTATACTCAGACACAGTACAGTACTGGCTCTGTGATGTGATGGTAGAGATGCTGCGATGCTGGCATAACATCAATGCAAAGGAAGAAAATAAAGTTAAAAGGATTAAGAATTGGGACAGACACCTATTGAGAGGATTTTGGCTGAAAGATGTCCTCTGTCAGGAGTTGAGTCTTACATCCTCTTCTAGATCCATGCCAACACGACAATTCTACAATACTATCAAATACTGTAATACTATACTGACTTTATAGTAACTGTATAAAGATGTGATGTAACCAGCCATTCCAATTTCATAAATGTTGCCTATAAAACGTGGCTGTATTTTGACAACACAGTCCTATCCATGTGTAAACAAATGCAATGTGTTAAACAAAACATTACTTGGCAATTTCAGAATAGCTACAAGGGCTACCCAGTGGGTCAAACCCTTGTGCCGGCAGGACTGCTGACCAACAGGTCAGCTGTTCGAATCCTCAGGGAGCGGGCTAAGCTCCCTGTCAGCTCCAGCTCTCCATGAGGGGACATGAGAGAAGCCTCCCACAAGGATGGTAAAACATCAAACATCATGGCATCCCCTGGGCAATGTCCTTGCAGACGACCAATGCTCTCACACCAGAAGCAACTTGCAGTTTCTCAAGTTGCTCCTGACAGAAAAAAACACCCAACTTTTAAAAGGAAAAAAGTGAAGGTGTACATTATTATAATTATTATGTTAGAAGCCTTTGGTGGTGTGATGGGTTAAAACCTTTTGCTGACAAGACTACTGACTGAAAGGTCTGTGGTTCGAATCGGGGGAGCAGGTGAGTTCCCATCTGTCAGCTCCAGCTTCCCATGTGGGGACATGAGAGAAGCCTCCCACTGGCTGGTAACACACTGAGACATCCTTGCAGATGGTCAATTCTCTCACACCAGATGCGACCTGCAGTTTCTCAAGTCACTCCAGACACAAAAAATTATGTTTCCACTTTATCTCTCCCAAAACAGAATCCAATTGGCTTACAATTAAAAGTATGACCACATAATTTAAAATATGCAAACATGCAAACATTAAAACAGAGTTAAACATAGCAGTACTAAAATTTTGTTAAAATCCATTAAAATCTATTCAAAGCTGAAAATCATAGCACCCCCTATGAAGCTAGAATCACACAAATTGCAAGCGTACACTCTACCTTGCAATTTCATTGCAAATACACACAGGTGAGAGTAGCACTACAGCACATGGAGCTGGTACGCAAGGCCAAATTAACACCTTCCTCACAACACTTAGGAAGAAAGCCCGGGGCAGCACTTCACAGGAACCGAAGCTCCTCCTTATCCAAAAGTAAACTTCACTGAAGATGGTGACAGATGAACATCCCAAAGCAGAATAATAATAATAATAAATCCTTCACAACACACCAATATCAAATGTGAGATGATATGCTCAGTGAGTGCTGGCCTGTTGGTGGGTCTGCTTTCCTTCCAAGGGCAGCAGGAAAGAAGACAGGCTCCCATCCATACGATGATGATGCTCAGGTTGGAGAGGAACCCTTTCCCAAGCAGCAGGACCCCAACAAACCCAAGGGACTGTGGTCTCAAAACACACCAACATCAAATGTGAGAAGATACGCTCAGAGTGCTGGCCTGTGGGTGGGTCTGCCTTCCCTCCAAGGGCAGCAGGAAAGAAGTCAGGCTCTCATCCATGAGATGGTGATGCTCAGGTTGGAGAGGAACCCTCTTCTGAGTGGCAGGAACCAAACAAACTCAAGGGACTGTGGTCTCAGGTGTCTAAGCCTCCTCCTGCTTTCTCTAAGAGTGACTTCTACCTCTACAGGAGGAGGAAGAAACCATTGACTCCCATCCATAGAAAGATGATGATGATGCCCAGGTTGGAGAGGAACCCTCTTCCGAGCAGCAGGAACCAAACAAACTGAAGGGACTGTGGTCTCAGGTGTCTATGCCTCCTTCTGCTTTCCCTAAGAGTAACTTCTACCTCTACAGGAGGAGGAAGAAACCACTGACTCCCATCCATAGAAAGATGATGATGATGCCCAGGTTGGAGAGGAACCCTCTTCTGAGCAGCAGGAACCAAATAAACTGAAGGGACTGTGGTCTCAGGTGTCTAAGCCTCCTCCTGCTTTACCCAAGAGTAACTTCTACCTCTACAGGAGGAGGAAGAAACCACTGACTCCCATCTTTAGAAAGATGATGGTGATGCCCAGGTTGGAGAGGAACCCTCTTCTAAACAGCAGGAACCCAACCAACCCAAGGGACTGTGGTCTCAGGTGTCTAAGCCTCCTCCTGCTTTCCCTAAGAGTGAGTTCTACCTCTACAGGAGGAGGAAGAAACCACTGACCACCACCACACATGCCAATAGATGGAGGGGGTGGGGAGCAGGAAGCCAAGCTCTCCTCCTCCTCCTCGCCTCTCTCCCAATACAACCCCGATTCTTCCGCTTTCCTAGTGAGGGCTGCTTCCTCCTCTGCTTCCCAAGCGCCTCCCCGTTTTCTGTAAGGGTCTCAAACAGAAGCCCCCCTCTCCTCGTTGACACTGGGGAAGGGGCTGCACAGTTCAGTCCAGGTGCTGGGAGCCGGCGCCTGCGGACTGGCCACCCTCCCCTTTGCCTTTTGCCAGCCCCGACCTGGGCGACCAAGAGGCGTGCTGTGCTTGAAGGGGGTGGGCGAGGGAAGGGACCCTCGGAGCTCTCCCCGTGCCCTCCGCCGCCCTCTGCCTCACCTGGGGAGCTCCTCAGGGCCAGGATGGAGGCGGAGGCGAAGGCTCCTCCAAGGGAGGCGAGCTTCAGAAGAGAGTCGGGGGCCAAGCCCTCCCGGCCGCCGGCGCGCCAACCTCCATGCGCGCATTGAATGAAACTCTTTCCCCAGCTCCTCCGCCCGCCGCCTCCTTCCCACGGCTTGGCCAAGGCGGAGAGAGAGAGAGAGAGCGGAGGGGGTGTCCACTACGAAGACGGCGCAGCCCTTTTCTTCCTCCCACGGAAGCTGAGCCCCCAGCCCCGGCCCCTGGAGAGCCCTTGGGAGCTGGGCGCAAGGGCTTGGGCTCTGAGTGGCGGCCCGGCTAGGTTGTCTTTCTGCCCGGCCGCCTTGCCTCTCGCTTCCCCTGCTTTCTCCCGAGATGGTTTGGTCCACTCCGAAATGGGGAAGGGGCGGGGCGGGGATGCTGCTGCTGCTCCTGCCTCTGTGTCTCGCGCACAATAGGCCTCCTCCATGTAACGGAGCTCTGGAGAGCCCCCCCCCCCCCCCCGACTCTTGGAAGGTAATGGTCAGAATCGGCACCCAGAGAAAGAGAGAGAGATGTGCAAGAAAGGAGGAGGAGGAGGAGGAAACCACAACACAGAGCACAGTTAGCCAATGCAGGCGGTTTAGTAGAGCAGCATTAAGATAAAGCAGTGTTTCTCAACCTTCCCAATGCCAGGAAATACATGTAAAATATAAAAATGTATCATGGTTTCAACAACTAAAAGAATATAAAGATAAAAGATAGGTTTTATAGGGGAAAGGAATTCAACGTGGGATAAATTGTGACAAGTAGGGAAAAAAAGTCATCACTAAAATAAAATAAATAATGTAAATATAAAAATAAAATAAATATATAATTATAAATATGGGTTAAAGCACTGAGCTGCTGAGCTTGTTGATCGAAAGGTCACAGGTTCGAGCTTCCGCTGTCAGCCCTAGCTTCTGCCAACCTAGCAGTTCAAAAACATGCAAATGTGAGTAGATCAATAGGTACCGCTCCGGCGGGAAGGTAACGGCGCTCCATGCAGTCATACCGGCCACATGACCATGGAGGTATCTACGGACAACGCTGGCTCTTCGGCTTAGAAATGGAGATGAGCACCACTCCCCGGAGTCAGACATGACTGGACTTAATGTCAGGGGACTACCTTTACCTTTACTTATAAATAACATAAATTAAAATAAAATATAAAATAAAATAAAAATGGCCTGGATTGGCTTTGAAAGTGAAGAGAGGGGGGCCAAGGGACAGTTCCACCTTGCCTCCTGTGCTATACTAATACTAATACTAATAATCTATCTATCTATCTATCTATCTATCTATCTATCTATCTATCTATCTATATATATACATGCTTTGTGCATAATGAGTACCTTAAAAACAAAAGAACCAATGAACGAAAACTCACCAAATTTGGCAAGAAAACATCTCACAACACAAGAAATGACCATCACTCAAAAATTATGATTTTGTCATTTGGGAGTTGTAGTTGCTGGGATTTATAGTTCACCTACAATCAGAGAGCATTCTGAACTGCATCAACGATGGAATTGAACCAAACTTGGCACACAGAACTCCCATGATCAACAGAAAATACTGGAAGGGTTTGGTGGGCATTGACCTTGAGTTTGGGAGTTGTAGTTCACCTACATCCAGAGATGATTGTGGACTCAAACAATGATGGATCTGGACCAAACTCTACACGAATATTCAATATGCCCAAATGTGAACACTGGCGGAGTTTGGGGAAAATAGATTCTTGACATCTGGGAGTTGTAGTCACTGGGATTCACAGTTCACTTACAATCAAAGAGCATTCTGAACCCCACCAACAACAGAATCGGGGCAAACTTCCCACACAGAACCCTCATAACCAACAGAAAATACTTAAGGCCATCCAGTCCAACTCCCTTCATCAGGGCAAGAAAACATAATCAAATTTCTCCTGACAAAGAGCCATCCAGCCATAGAAATAGATAGATATGATTCACGCACACACAGATATAGTATTATAGATTTGAAAGGGACCCCTAAAGAAGGACAATGGTATGTTGCATGTTCCAGGGTGGGCAAACCAGACACATCAACACTGACAAAGAAACAGCAAGAAATACTGTTTACCCACAAGCATAAAGAAATTACATATATTAGAAACCAACACTTTCTCATTACTTTATTTTCCAGATCAACCGACTGGGTCACAGCAACGCATGGCAGGGGACAGCTAGTATAATATATTGTATATACATATAATATTTATAATATTATAATATAATACAATATAATACTACTAAAATAATATAATATTATAATTATATATTTATATTACATGTAATATTACTAATAATATTACAATATAATGTTATAGTACAATATAGTAATATATAATACTGATATTGTACTATGCTAATAATATAATATATTGCTTGTATATATATCTTGTAAGCCGCTTTGAGTCCCCTTTGGAGTGAGAAGGGCTGTATATAAATGTCGTAAATAAATAAATGTGCAAGAGAGGACGAAACCACAACACAGAGCATAGTTAGCCAATGCAGGTGATTCAGTACAGCAGCAGTAAGATAGAGCAGTGTTTCTTAACCTTCCTTATGCCATGACTCCTTAATACACTTTCTCATGTTGTGGTGACCCCCAACCATAACATTATTTTCCTTGCTACTTCAGCAATGCCATATTGTTTACTGTTATGAATCGTTGTGTCAATATCTGATATCCAGGATGTATTTTCATTCACTGGACCGAATTTGGAACTAATACCTGGGGGGGGGGGGGGGGGGGAGTTCGTTTTGTCATTTGGGAGTTGTAGGTAAAAGTTTTCCCCTGACATTATGTCCAGTCATGTCTGACTTGGGTGTGGTGGTCATCTCCATTTTTAAGCTGAAGAGCCAGCATAGACACCTCCAAGGTCATGTGACCGGCAAGACTACATGGAGCACCGTTACCTTTAGTTGTCTGCTCTTTCTATATGCCAGTTCTATACCAGCCCTGGACAACATACTGGAGTTAAATTGAGAGAAGTGGAATTCTTCTCCCATGTTAGTCAGAAAATAGTCTGTTATCAATCTTTTGATAGCAAGAAGATTGTTTCATGATAAATTAGTTGTGATAGGTACTTAAAAGGAAGAATGGAGAAGTGGAGGAGCTTATCTCTTGAAGTAGAATAAAGCAAGAAAAAAACCTGAGTTGAGTTGTTGGTACTAGAGTAGAGAGTACTGGGACAGATGGAACCATACTCTCTCATATAACACAACTTCTTATGGAATTAATAAGGTTTAGGGTGAAACGGGATTTGAGTTTCCATCAAGAAAAATCATTCAGGCTTTACCGTTCTTAAATAATAATGAAATATGCATTTGAGTACCCTTAGGTATTATACTCTGTAATTACTGTGAATGTAATGGCTGTATGTTAGTTGGGACTAGCAAGTGAATTTGGGCCATAGAGCTCTGGATCAGAGAATCCAAGGTCCGAATTATTGTCAACCTATAAATTTACTGGTGTGATAAACAATCATTTTGGCCTCACTTACCAACTCATAAAATGGGGCTGGTAATCTAAATTTGACTATTTTGAGATCAAACAGTTGTTGAGTCATATAAAAGGAATAAATAGAGATTCTTTATTTGTTTTTATTTGTACTTTGCCTAAAGAACAGCACAGATGTCTCACAAAGCTGTCGTTGATATGACTGATTGTGAATAACATAGCAAAGCTCTATTCCTAATCCTCCTAACTCTGTGATAAATCTTCACTATTTTGTCCAAATACACATAACAGCAGAATGTGCTTCTTGCCACATTATCCTGTTTTGTTTAGCAAATCTCAAGACCTCACAATTACAATAAACACTCTTTTTTAAAAAAAACCTGTTGCTTGTTGTGCTAAGCAACAGAGCTGTAATGTATATGGAGGACCCACAATATGACAATGTACCTGCAGTTTATGCAGCATAAGGTATATTGAGCATAAATATCTAGGACGCTACGTAATATGACAAAATTAACCAAGGATCAGAAACCACAAGTTGGCACCCATGATTGAGATAAATATAAAAGAGGACCAAATGGACTATGTACTTACTGTAATAGTTAATTACAGTCCCCCTTCAAATTTACAAGTTTGACTTTTGCAGATTCGATTATTCACAGATTTGATTAAAATGTTCTCTCTGGAAATGACTAGGTTCTACAGTTAAAATCTACGGGCAAGTTTCAGCAGAAAATGACAATAGAGTAATGTTGGAGGACCCAGAAATATCTAGAGAGGTAGTCTCTCAAGTTAAAAATAACTTTTTTAAAATTAAAAACAATCACCATTTCACAGCACAGTGGTGCTGTGCCACCAACCCTAGTGAATGTGGAGGGTTGACTGATCTTTCCAGGCTTTAATCCATAATGCTATGCTTTAATTGTATTTTATATTGTTTTAACTTTGTGTTTTTAACTAAACTGTTGTTGAATTGTCTTTGTCTTTTGTACCGAGATTTTAATTACATTTTCATGGTTAATTGACTTACTAGCATTGAGTCAAACAAATTGAAATATATAATTGGTTCTTCAGTAGAGCTGGCTTTAGCTTATAAAGTGCTGGCTTTAACCTGTAAAGCTTTAAATGCTTCCGACCCAGCTTACCTGTCCAAACGGATCTCTGCCTATGAACTATCTTGGAGATTAAGATCGTCCGGGGAGGCTCTGCTCTTGGTCCCATCTTCACTGCAGGCGCGATTGGTGGAAATGAGAGACAGGATCTTCTCAGTGGTGGCCCCTCGGCTGTGGAACTCCCTCCCCATCAATGTTAGATTAGCCCCCTCCCTACTGACCTTCAGAAAGAGTGTGAAAACATGACTCTGGGAATAAGCCTTCAGAGAAGAACCATTGTGCAATAGATGGACTGGAATGATATGCAGTGACTACCAGAACGACCTGGATTATGATTGTGGATAGTATGATTTTATAGTGAATGTAATATTTTTAATTTTTTCATATATTTAAATATGGACCTTAATTTTAATTAAAAAGTTTATTTTAATTGTATATTGTTGTTAAGGCATTGAATTGTTGCCTATCTGTAAGCCACCTTGAGTCCCCTTTGGAGTAGAAAAATGTGGCATATAAATATAATAAATAAATAAATAAATAGAAAAAAGGAGGGAAAATATAACCTTTTGATGGGTAGCAAAGGCATACTTTCAGCACATGTCCTGATAGCGGAATGACTTGCAAAGAAATTAGGATGATAGAAAGAACCACAGTAAATACAAGACCAGCCCCCTTTTAAGCCAAAATGGAAAGATGGTGCTGTGGGGAAAAGCATTGGAAGCCATCTGAGCTCCTCTCACTATTCAGCTTTGCTGGAA